CAGGCTCTGTACAGAAGAGGTCAGAGAAATCCTTGGAGGAAGCAAAATTGAACTGTTGTTTGGTTGGTGGGTTGTTTTTTGTTTGTTTGTTTGGTTACTGGTTTTTGTTTTTTTTTTTTGTGGTTTGTAAAAACCTCCATTATTTTTAATTTTTAAAGGTGTGTGCAACTCATTTCAGAGTCATACTGAGGATGCCCTAAGCCATAAAAAGATTAGGAAGCAACTAAAGAATAAGTAGCAGTGCTTGCAGTCTAGAATGGTGAGTCAGAGTCATGGGTGCATGTGGGACTTGGCAAAATGCTGGGCAGCTGTTCAGAATCTGCAGGAAAGGGAGAGGGACCCAAATTAAAGTGTGAATCTTTTTTTGTTTGTACGTGTGCTTTTTTTTTCTTTTATGGCATTGCCCATCTAAACATTTCTTTAAAAGAAAATTTAGAAAAGAAAATCCAGTGCACACTGGCTGAATAACGATATGGATAGCATGAAGATTTTGGCACAAAGCAAACTTAGAGTAAAGAGCTTTTGTTCTTGCTTAGCTCTGTGAGTAATTTCCACTTTATTTGACTCCTGCTGCATGAAAATATCTTGTGTGCTGCCACTGCTGATTAATATTTTACCATTTTAATTCAGAGGGACACGGACAGAATGTACAAGTGTAAGGGCAATCAGATGTTGACAACCTGATGTGATTTGATCATGATTAATAATAACTCTGCAGGGCCTGTCTTGTTTATAGACTTCAAACCAACCAGCCAAACAGCCTCACCACCAGCACACCGCCCCCCAATATTCTCACCTTCTCTGATACTGAAAATCTTCTGTGCTTATGTGCATGTCAGTGTTCTCTAGCAGCTCCTCTTCTGCTTTCTTGCTTGCAGATCTGAGCCAAATTATGGATTGGACTGGAGGAGTTTCAGTTTTGTTATCAAATTTCCTGTTTCAAGGAGTTAGCACTCTTTTTCCTATTTGCTGCTCTACTGAAACTGGATATTGAGTAGATGAGGGTAAAATTCTGCTAAGCTACTGTTTCCAGAATGTCTGAAGCTTTGTCCCTGAGCAATAAAGTCTAATCCCAAAATATTCATTAATTTTGGTTGTTTATTTAAAAATAAAAGTTTTTTGAATATAATCAAACATAGCTATTGTTCTGTTATATTCCTGGAAATGGGAGAGACCATAGTGTGAACATGGAAACATTCCTCTGAACACACATAAGACTTTTGCTTATTTTGTATTAGAGGTTGGTAGCCTTCCTAAATCAGCATTCAGTGGAGATCCTTGCTGTCAAAGAAGAGAGAGAAAAAACCAAATGTCACCATCATGTACTGCACTTAATACATAGGCTTCCTGTATATCCCAAAAGAACTTCTCAGATATTTCTGCTTCCAAATCTAAGCATCATAATCCCTCAAATCCCCAGAGAGATCACTGAGGAAGACTGTAAGGCTTCTGGTGGTTCAGAGTGTCCTTATAGTCTAAATAATTGTGACTGGAATCTCTTATAGCTGTATCTTTAGTGTTTCTCAAGCTCTTTGTGAAAACAAAATGGATGAATTTTCCCTTTTAGAATAAAATATTGAACAGCCTCTCCACTGAATAGGAAACATAGGTGTTTCTAGCAGCCAGCTGCTGCTTTAGAGGGAGGTGGCAGACGTACAGGATGTATGTTGTGTTCAGAGGAACGTACTTGAGGTCAGTTTGGCAATCATCCACTGCTGCTGTGCTGTGTTGAGTCATCTGGAGTATTAATGTCCATTTTTAGCATCACTTCTGATAAATCACAAACGTAGATGTCTTTGCTGTGACAAATGCGTGTCTTAAATTTGAATGTGATTTTTTCTGAGTTGGGGAGTGGATGCATTTTGGAGATTGGCTGTTCTGGATCATGTAGGACTGAAGGGAAAATCTTTTCTCCGGTGCTTTGTCTTCATTTTGTAGCTCCCAGGTATGAATGTCACAACTTACTAAAGTTTTTACTTGTTAGGGACTAGAAGGATTGATTAATAGCTGAATCTGAAACCTGATAGACTACAGATTTTCCTATGTTGTGTCCCATGATAGTGTGGAATTGCCTTACAATTTACTGAAGCAAGGGAAATAGACTATTTCAAGAGCCAAAAAAAAAATAAAATAACAGTCTTACGATGCAACCTTAATTGTTTGTCATAAAAACCTTAATGGAAGCTTAAATAAAATGACATGAATTTAGATATATATCAATGTAATATATGATATAATGCTACTGAACCCTAAATAACTGTAGTCCAGATGAGTGAGTGCTCTTTGCAGACTGTTGGATGCAGCTGTTTTCCTGTTGATGACAGCAATCACTCCTAATGGTTATAGTTCTGAAGTCAAAGGTAACTCTGCAAACCACAAACTCTGAAACACACAATTTTTCTTTCATTAATTTCTGTTGAGCTATCACTTCCTTTTATAACCTGAAATTTTGGGAAGAAAGAGTGTGAAAATTTAATGTTTCTCATGTTAAAGTTGCAGGAAGTAATATGACCCAAAAGATTATTATAATTCATACTGAGCTTTCAAATTATAGATTCAGAGCTTGAATGAAAGGGTCAGAAGGGTTTCTGGGTGAAAAAGGGGACAGTATTGAGAGATGATGATGTTTAAACTCCATTTTTTCATGGGAATGCTGAGGATCTTTGCCCTGCTGGTAGTTAGGAGAAAATGAGAGTGGTTGTTTTACACTGGTGGCATCAGACAGCTTTCTGCTGTAGAACCATTAAAAAGTACTGTATTCTTCTTTCTCTTGTATTAACCTGAGAGAGGTATAGTGCATGTTTCTGATGATGTAGTTTTCACATATTTATCTTCCCAGGACGGATTAGACATGCCAATTATGCTTCAGTGCTGGGTGTTGGACCATGTAGTCACCTGTTATGTCTTCTGTTTGTGTATTTATAGAACTCCTATTGACCATTAAATATCAATTTTCTGATATGTAAGTTCTCACACTTCTTGAAGCGATAGTACAGTAGACACATACTCCCCTTTTTGTTAGAAATCTTAGCTCTTCTTGGTTTTAAAGTACAAATTGAGGAATGGACTCAAGAAGCTGCATGGAGTGGGTGCTGTGACAGTTGAGTGTCCAGCTAGCTCGAAAGCTGCCAGCATCATCCATTCATCCATGCCTCATGCTATGAGATTTTATCTTAAAGGGTTTTGTTTTTTGTTTTTTGTTGTTGGTTGGGTTGTTTGTTTGTTGTTTTTTTTCAATTGAAGCATGGTGGAAATTCTCTCATACCATCTCAATAATATGACAGTCCATGCAGAAAGGAGTCAGGAGCTTTTGGCAGTCAGGGCCTGCTTGTTTCTGCTGAATTTTGCATGGTGCAAATGTGTAGCAGTAGAAGGGTTGGAGGCCTCCTGCTGAAGTTGGGTATAAGGAACACAAGGATGAGAAGCAAAAATGGAGGAGCAAATTACAAGGCTTGTCTTGTTTACAAGTTTCGTGCTACAGGAAAATAATAACTCACTACTAGACAGTTTATTACTGTAGAAAGAATAGTGAGGCTACAAGTGGAAGCAATTTATAGAAATCCTTTCTCTGAATTTATTCATGTTCTATTTATTCTAGTTCTTAACAAATTAAAAGACAGGACTGCTCTTCTATAGAGCGACATTTTGCATTGCCAGAACTGCTCATTATTTTCTTAAGATGTGAATGTTCCCAAAAGGCCTTAAAGGTGAGATTAGAATACAGGTTTCATAATGTGGAAAAGAAAATAATTATTCTTGATGGCAGCGAGACAAATGAATCATGACGTGTAACAATATTTTTCTTTTTAAAGAAAAATTTTAAAGACACATTTCCTTTGACATAGGTGCCCACTCACACAATCTGCTGTTAGTATGTGTTGAAATACTTCTCGTTGCTTATTTCCTGAATTATGTCACTAAGTTATGAAATTCAGAACTTCCTGTTTCATAGAATAAGTTGATAATGCTCATTCTATGTCCAGTTTATGGATTGCCTGCCAGACAAGTAGGTTTACTTGCACAAAATTACTGGAATGTAAGGATTTCTGCTTGTGGTACAGGCATTCCTATATAAGGCATGGGTAGCTGTAAGTAGCTGTCTTTTGGTTTTGTGGGGTTTTTTCTTTAATAATGCACTGTTTTTGAAGTGGATATATGTCCTCTGGGACAGTCTCAGAAATATTTGAAAATCAAGACATACACAGTTTTTCTCATCCTGGCCTGTAGCTGATACATGTATAGATCTTTCATGAAGAATTAGAAATCAGCAGGAGGCCAGTAACTTTCCTAGTAGCCTGTGACCAAAATTCTGTGTAGGAGTGAATCCGTGGTCTAGATCTATTTTTTCTGCTGATATCAGAAAAAAAGTTTGTTTCTTGCTGTTGTTGAGGACTGAGTCATCTGCCAACATCCAAAGGCAGTTGCACTAAACCGAGTTCTCATGGCTTGGATGAGCAACGGTGGGAGCAGAACAAGAATGTGTTGATCCAATGCAGTTACTCTTAGAAAGAGAAATAGAAGCTTGTGACCTTCCTCATTGCACACCATGGACTTGTCTTCAAATTTGGACTTGGTTTCTGACTTTTTCCTGACCTTTCCTTCCTATTTTTCTGTCACATGCAGTCTGAGAATAGTGATGATCTTTGAAATTATGGATGGGAGACAAGGGGTGAGTGTCTGTGCCCCTGACATCATTACCTTGCAGTGCATTGCCAAAGGTTTTATTTTCCTAAAAGCAAAGTCTAGATAATACATTTCCTAGAGTGCTATGTATTTATAGATATATATATCAAAATATAAAATATATCCTAGCTGTTTAAAATGTAAGTACAGGCAGACTGGATGGAAAATATTTCACTGTAGTGCATATATACACTATATATACACATTTGCACTATATTGTATTACTTTGAAATGCAGTTAATTATTCATCCCTGCTGGCACTGCATTGTTTTGACTCATTTTTCTCACCAGTGCAAAGACAGTCAAAACTTCAAAAGTGTCTCCAAAATTTTTATTAGTAAGCAAAATCAGTTTATTAGTTCTGTGCACATGTGTCAGTCTTGCTCATTTCTCATAATGTGGAATCTTTCTTTGTAGGGGTCTCTTGATTTATGCTGTTTATTTTTTTCCCCTTATCCTTATGTGTACTAAGTGCAATTAAAGGCAAACTATAAAAATTCTAGACCTTTCAAGGTACTGTAGTGACTCATGTTCTAAAATTCTTTTGTGTTTCCTTGCAGCAAAGTAATAAAATCCTTGCAAGATCCCTCTTTGTTGCATTATATGTTAGTAGCAATAATAATACAAGTCTTCATGAGGTGCTTGCTGCCAGCAATGCTGTACAGCAATAGACTGTACTAGGCTGATTACTTTTATAGAAAATAATCTGAAATAGAGATTACCTGCTGTATGCCTCTAGTGTCATATATTTGTTAGGAATCCACCTGGAAGCCTTAACTGTGACTAAAACCTCCAGTATTCATCAGAATTTTCTAAGCAATTTCTGGCAAAACCTCTTTTTCCTTTTTTTTTTTTTTCTTTTCCCCCAGCTGTGAAACTGATTGCTTATTCTTGTGGGAGGAGGTAGGCTGCAAAGAAATCTCCGAGCCATTGAAATATAAACAAAATAAAACCCAGGAGTGTTTTGGGTGGCTCTAGTGGAACACATAGCTACTGTTGGCCCAAGTGGCCCTGTAGATTTGGGTTGAAAAAAAGCTAACTGTGTTGTGTGAGCTAGCAGGGAAGTGGGTGGAATTTTTAGGTTTTGTTGGTGTTGTCTCATCAGTTATCAGTAAATCTTGTGATGCTGCTTTTCCTTCCTCTTATTAGTGGAGATGTCAGCTCTAGGCATGGAAGGAGCATGCTCCAGGTTTGCCTTATCAAATACCTTCCAAAATGAGGTTTCTTTAGATGGTTTTGTGCTGAGCTGACCTGTGGAAGGAGCTTCTGGGCAGAGAAAGGCAAGGTTTATTGTAAATTGAATGTGGTGTTGTTCTGGAAACTGTTACAGGTCGCCCAGAAAAGTGCTTGTTTGGGTTGGGTCTGGCACCGGTGTCTCTAGACCCCAGAAACTGCTGGCAAAGTGGTGCCTGATGAGTTTGTTGAGGAATTTAAATCGAATCAATGTGTATTATATGAAGTGATCTGCTAAATGCATTTTAAGATTTTTTTTCTGCATTCTTTGCCACTAATAAGTTATCCACATGCAGTGGGCTAAAGCATGATGTAATATTTAGTACTGCTCAAACACCACTGCTCCTGCTGTGGTCAGATTACCTCTGCAAAGCCTAACTTCAAGTTCTGGAGTTATAACAACCTTTTTTCTTTCCAAGTTTGATTGATGAAATATGAGAGCTTCCTGTATCTGCACGGAGGAGACAAGCTCACTGAATACCCATAACGTTGTGACTTACTTCATTGTGGTAGCATTGGTCTCTCTACATTTCCTTACTCTCCTACTGCTTCTGGTTGTTACTGTAGGATAATTTATAGAGGAGGGAATGTACAGGCTATTTTTCTTCCAGCATTTCTGTCTTTGTTTTGCCAGTTCTGTCCAAGAGCAGTCCTTCAGTTCCTATACAGACTTTTCAGAAATGCTTTAATGAAGCCTAAGGAGAAAGGAAAGCCCTGTGGCCACAGCTCCCACCCATGTGCTGCTCTGATGTCTGTTCTGCTTTCACTGGGAACTCAACTAGTAAATAAAAAGAACAGAGCAGAACCCCTGAGGTTGGGCTCTTCCCCGAGCTGGATTTACTTTTCCATTGCTCAGAACCAGATCCAAAGAGCTGTCTGTGATCTCTCTTTGAGCCTTGTGAGTCTGAGTTTTGGCTGGCTCAGCTGTCAGACGTTGAATGTCAAACCTAGGAGGCTGCTGCTTTTCCATGGAAACACTCTGTGAGATTGCAGAAATAATCAGGCACGTCTGCTGGTTGCTGTGCCCTATTGTTGGGTGCTTCCAGACAGTGAACTGAATTGTCCTACCTTGACAAACTGAGTTTTTAGCTGAAATCTGCTCTACTTTTGTCATACTTCTTGCCTTTTTTTTTTTTTTTTAATTTTTAATTAAATGCATTAGTGTGACAGCTTATTCTGCTGTGGTGAGGCAAGCCTCTTGATGTTTGCTTTCCATTTCTCTCCATTCATGCACAACCTGCAAAACTAGATCCAGCCCTCTTGCTCCTGGGCAGGTACCACCAGTATGAACTGCTTCATGCCTCGGCTGTGGAAGGTCTGAGCTGCAGTGCTCTTGAGGGATCCTATGCAAGTCTCCTTAACAGTTCTTCTGTGCACTACATTTTGCTGTTGACATAAAAATAATTCAGTGTTTACAATGTAAAATTCTGTTAATTAGCTGTATCTTTTCAGTTAGCAAAAGGATTTTCTTTACTAGAGGAAGGGGCTGAGATTTAGAGACTTTCCATGGCCGGATTTTCTTGAAATTAAATTTTACATCATTTACTTTCAAGAATGCTTGAAAATTTTATTTATCAATGTGCTTGGATAACTCTAGATATGCTTTGTATTGGCTTTAGGAAGAAACAATATCTTTGCTACAGGTATTACTAGCTCGAAGTCACTATTGATACAGCTCAGTGGGAGAGGTGCCATAAACTGCTTGGAAATAAAAGCAATTCTGGTTTACAGAATGTGTTTCAGTGTATCAGGCTGGTGCTGTGATCTGAAAATAACTATCTTTGGAGACAAAACAGTAAAAGTCTCGTTTCTTATATTTCTGTAGCTTGAAAGTTATTCTGGAGAGCTGCCTAAGAAGGAAGGATAACTTCCAGGCTTGTGGGCCGAAGCGATCACTAAGCTGGCCTAGTACAACTTCTGCCCGTGTTCCTTTGTTGTCCTTCAGTGGCAGCTGCCAAAAAGGAATGTCCAGGGGAACAGCTGCTGTAACACTGGAAGAAGGACTGCGGCAGGGGATGGAGACAGTGTCAGTGAGGTGGAGAGAAGGAGAGAGCTCACCTCTCTGCTGCAAATCCCCCTTCTGTAAAGAGCGGCAGCTTGGAAGGGAAAGGTTTATCGCCCAAAACACTGACATCACATGAACCAAACGCTGCCTGTAAGGACAAAAGCAAAACAGCTGCCCTTTTTTCCATGCCCAGCACACATCTCCTCTCAGGGCACCCTGTGAAAGAGCAATAAATGCCATGGTCTTGTTTCTTGTGGCACTGAGGAGCAGGGGCCGGTGCGAAGCCGTGCGATCTGAAATCGCTGGGGAGTAACAGGAGTGCAGCTCACCAGGCCTGAGGTCTCCTTTGGCTCCTTCAGAGCTGCTGAAGAGGAATCTTTTGCTGTCTGCAGGGCCAAATTCATTGCTTTCCTCCTTCAAAGTACCGTGGTTTTTAGAAAAACAGCCAGTTGAGATAAGGCAGTGAAAGTGTGGAAGCATTGGCCCCTCTGTGCTTATCACAGAAAAAATGCTAAGTCTTGGGATTTTGAAAAAGTAAGAGGAAATTTTGCAAATTTGAGCCTTTATGCTTGCTTATGAGAATAGCAATATTTTTTTATACTCTTGAAAAGGTAGACATCCTGTTTCCCTTGAGGTGCACTTCTTCAGTAGTAGATGGTTTGGAGCTAAAAGGAATACACATGGCCATTTTGTGCCCCTGTGCTTGGCAGTGGTGGGGCTGCACCTTGAATCCCGTGTTCATTATGGGCCTCTCACTGTGAGAAAGGCATGGAGGTGCTGGAGTGTGTCCAGAGAAAAGCAGGGGCTGGAGCACAAGTCCTGTGAGGAGCCACTGAGGGAGCTGGGAGTGTTCAGCCTGGAGAAAAGGAGGCCATGGGGAGACCTTATCACTCTCTATAACCACCTGAAAGGAGGTTATAGGAAGGTGGGGGTCAGGCTCTTCTCCCAGGTAACAAGTAACTGTCCTTGGGGTGGTTTAGATTGGATTTTAGGAAAAAATTCTTCACTGACAGGGTTATCAAGCATTGGATCAAGCACTCCCTGCTCAGGGAAGTGCTGGAATCACCATTCTTGGAAGCGTTCCAAAAATGTGTGGATGTGACACTTGGGGATGTAGTTTAGTGGTGGATACAGTGATGCTGGGTTAATAGCTGAACTCCATGATCTTGGAGGTCTTTTCCAACCTAAACTGTTCTATGAGCCTGTATTTATATTGTAGTTGATTTCTCTGTAGAAACAAAGGTAATACTATAATAGAGCAGATCAATGTTCTATTGTTTTACCTTGTCTGGCAGTAAGTGTTGCAACTGTCAGGAATCACAAGCCTGTTTCAGTAGAACTCTAAGAAATGGTGTAACAAATGGACAACTTGAAACCATGCGTGTGTGAGGCCTGACATGTCACTTATTTAGATGCTGTGGTTGGTTTCAGTTCAAGCTTTCAAATCTTATGCAGACAATGGTAGTAACTGCTATCTGTATGCCTCATGCTAATCTCACATAACTTGTTTTGGATGAATAGAATTTTAAGTGGTCATTACCAAAATGACCACTTTATCCAGTTTGAAAAACGTACATTTCTAAAGCTTAGTTTCAGACTCCATCAACCTGAATAAAATGCCAAAATCTTGGTCTGTCAGATAGCAGCTGGGACTGGAAAAGCTGAAGCACATGGTGTCATTGTTGTGAAAGACAATCCTTTCAATGGAATCAATTCAGGACACCGGATGTCAATATGTTCTTTATTTTCCATTCATGTCTTCCAGCTAAAACCAGTTTATTCCTAAACTTCTGTCTCTGAGCCAAACAAGAAAGGGAGATGACTGAATTTTCTTTTCTTCATCCATCCCTCCTCAGAATCATTTTGGATGTGCTGATTTCCTCTGTCCCTTTCAAGTAGATTGAATAAAACTTTTCTCGTATGAACAGAGAATACTTTTTTTAGTGTTGCTCCATATATGTTACCTATGGCTTCTGTCAAAGATTGTAGTGTGTCCTTTCATCCCTTCCTTTGTGTGATGGCTGCTCCATGTGGTTTATTTTTTTTTCCTACACGTTGTATCTGCCTAAAATCAGACCTAATAATTAAAGAAATTCCAAGTTAGAAGCTGAAATAGATTCTGACTGCTGTTGCCCTTCATTCTGCTAGCAATCCTCCTATAATGAGTACAGCTAGTTCTTGTTCAAGAACAGATGGTCTAAGGGTTTTTATGGTGTATGGAACAGGTTTTACAATACCAAGATGGCTTATAATATTTCAGTAAACAACTTAATTTTTAAATGCAAAGTTGGAATTAACATGAATCTAGAAAATTGTTTTGTAGGAGGTGTCCCTTTCATGATGGAAAAAAGACTGAAACTGAACTTGAATCCCTACAGTTTTGAAGTCAATTTGCTAAGAATTGTAATTGCTCCATTTTTTAACCACAGAAATGCATAAATGCATAAAAATCTATAAGTACATCAAATTTCTGAGACATTGTCTTTATTTTTGAGGGGCAAAAAGAAAATGATGTTGCTGCCTTTCATGATTCTTTAATGCTGAAAAGTTTTTATTATTAACAATTGGCAAGTTGAATAGGTTTTCTTCCTTATTTTATTTTACTGCAGTTGCTGATGGATAATTAGGTCTCCTGTCCATGTAAGCTTAAGAATTTTTTTATGATGTAAAGATTACTTATTTAGAAGAAGAATGTAGATAGTAATTAGCAGCATAAACCAGAATGGTCTACTAGTCCTGGAGGGCAAGTTGGCAGACCTGGGTTTTGTCCCACTACTTTCACCAGTATCCACAATAACCTTGTGAGTTCCTTCTGAAATCTGGGTCGTCTTCAGCTTTCTGTGGACTTTTGTGTGGATTACAGCTACTCTTGTGCTGTGAGCAGAGGTCTGAAGAGCTCCCAGTGGTAATGCGCTGGCAGTTTAACAGTGGTGTCTCTTACCAGTGTCAGCTTCTCTGGGCTTGCTGTGAAACAAGATAAACATCCTTCTGGAGTGAGGATGAGGAAGACTGAAAATTTGGGTGGAAGGAGAGAAAAAATCATAGAGCTCCATGCCTGAAACCATTTGCAGAAGAAGACATGATTTTGTGATGGTGGGGTCCAGGGTTTTTCAGTCTTTTAGAGGAATGAAAGTTGTTTTGCAGGGCCAGCTAGAAGATTAAAGGAGAAAGGAAACCATTTTCCCTTCCTCAAAAGAATTGTTTGCTAGACCTAAGTTAGCATGCAGGAGCCTGAGGCCCAAATTTGGTGCAGCTTCAAGTAAAATTACCCAGTTTTTTCGACATGCCATTAGTCATAAGCGCTGAGTGAGGCAGAGAAAGTTTGTGTGAGTCAAGGCTATTGTACATTCAGTGTTTCAAACCTTAAGTATTTTGAGACTGTGCAACTCATCAGTATTTAAAACCTTAATATGTTCTTTCAAAGCCCTTTTATTTTGCAGCGAAGATCATTATCGGTTGGATGTGAGAAGCCACTTCCCTTTTTCCCTGCAGACATCATCAGTGGGAATTCTCTGAGCTGGTGCACACACCTTCTCTGTAGGTGTGGAGCTGTGCAGGGTCTGGCCCGGTGAGAGCAGAGGTTTCAGGCACACCTTTGATAGGGAAAAAGAAGGTTTTTCCAGCCCCGCCTCTCCTGGCAGTGCAGCAGAGAGCCAGGGCAGTTTTGCCTGCTGCTGAATCAGCATCGATCTGGGCAGATGCAGAGCAGATAAGCCTGACAGAAGCCCTGAGACCGAAACAGAGGGTCTGTGCGGTTCTTGTTGAGCAATAGCTCATGGCATCTCGCGGGGAGCAATTTCAAAGTCCGGGAGACAGCCATCAGGCGGCAAACGTTTCCAATCGCGCTGAAATCCAGCCCGTTCGGGGGAAATAAGCTGGCCTTCACCAAATCATTTTGTCAGGGGGGAAAGAGCTAATTCCCCCGAGCGCTGTGTTTTAGCAGCGAGCAGAGCTCCCGTTTAGCTTCAGCTGCGGCCGGGTGTTTCCCCCGGCAGACAGAGCGGGCGGTGTGAAGGTGACACGCTGCAGGCTTTGGCAGGTGACAGGCTGCTGTGGGCAGGTTCTGTGGAGCAGCACCTGGCGGGCACGCCCAGGCAGGCCGGGCTCGGCGGGGCTGCGGCACAAAGAGCGCTGGTTGCCCCGCTGGCCGGGAGCCCGGCGGGCCGCCGCTCGCCGGGGAGGAGCGGTTTCCATGGAGGCTGCCATCTGTCCCCTCCCTGCTGGAATGTGATTATCCTCGCCGGCTCGGGAACCGGCAGAAGCAGGGGAGCGTGTGCTGCCGGCAATTATCTGCAATGGAGTGCGTTAATGGAAGGCTGGAATTAGCTGGCTGGAGGAGCACATAAAAGGATTTTACCAAAACTGTTCCATGGTTTCTAGCCAAGGGGAGCGAGCTTTTTGCAAGGTCGGTGCTAAATTCATTTCGTATGTAGGTAATTTTTAATTGATGCAGCGGCTTTAAGGTTCGAGGATGGCAGCGCCAGGGAAATAATGCTTATTGTTAGGAGGGGGTGTGGGGATTGTATTTTCAGGATCTTCGTTTGTCTGTTGCAGTTCAAGCAGTTTAATCTGGGGTAGTTGAAGTAGTAAGTCAGAACAATAACTGGCCGGACTGACACAAATGGAGCAATCCGTATCCCTTGCTCTTTATGAAATGCTGTTTGCTGCCAGATCTCTTTGATTTACGTGTCTTTTCACGCCGGTCGCTTTTGGTCCGAGTGGTTTCTTTTTGGATGTGATCCGTGTTTGGTTTTCCTGCTGGCACGAAGGGTGAGACGAGGGGGAAATGCTGGAACGGAGCTGGCGATACAATGGATGTTCAGGGTGTTTGATGCAGCTTGCCCAGAGGAAGCAGCCTAAGGGAGGCAGAATGCAGGAGCAGGTTTTCCACTCCTCGTTCCCACCCTCTGTCCCTCTTTCTAACTCACCAAGTGACCGAACATTTTGGACTATTTCTCTCATACAGCTTAATTGTATAAAGACTTGACGTGAGTTTTCAGGATTCTCTGCAAATATTGTGACTGTTTTGATATCGGGATTTAATTTAAAGGGGAAAATAAAATTAGAAGTATGTCCTTGTAAGGTTTACTTGTCCTATAAAATACTTTTTTTGCTGTGTTTCAGGAGTGAGGAGTATTAATTTATTTTTTTTTTTATAATATATGCATGCTGAACATTTAAGTGCAATTCAAATTGCTGACTTAAACGAGGGAACATTAAAATTTTACACCCCAAAAATGCAAAATGCTACTTCAGCAGATGTTCTTAGTCACATATGGGCTTTCCCTTTTCAAATAAAGGTCTTATGCTGCATCCCTCTTGCCAGAACTGCCATTTTTATTTGGTGCAGGGGACAACACTACTGGAGGCTTTTAATTAAAACTGTGTCAGTGCTAATTCAACCTCTCTGTCCTCTGCTTTAATGCACCGAAAATGTCAGTGCATTGGAGTCTGGACGGAAAGTTGCTGATAGAGTTAATAAGTCATGATTGCAACATATTTGACTAAGATAAATTTTTAACCTACAAGATGCTTTTCAAGTCTTGGTGCCTGACAAAAGTGTGTGGGAGATTGAGAGGGTTTTTATTTCTTTAAGTGCTTTTAACTGTTTGTGGTGAATGAGCTTTCCTTGTGCTTGTGGGAGGCTGGTGTATGTGCCTGGAGTCCTTTCAGACACCATGTAACACTCTCATATTGGTGGAACTGGGTGAGCAACCTTAATGAAAGCTGTGTTCATTTGTAATTTAAAAAAAAAAAAACGACAAAACCAAACCA